GTTATTTAACGATGGAATTTCGCGAGCTCATCGTGCAACACCCTGTGTATAATAAGATAATTAGACCCCCAGTATATTATGCATTTAAGCTAAAATCATGATTGTCATTTTAAAAGAGGACATTTTTACAAACGGACGTGAAAAGACATGTGAGTGAGGTTACCGGTCCCCAGTCTCCTTAAAATCCCCAACAATACTTGAATTCCTAATCCCCAAAAGGCCGGTAACGCACTTCGAACACCACTGATGTTTTGAGTGTCCATGGGCGGTACCGATTGCTTATCATCAGGCGATCCGTTTGCTCGTTAACCAGCTTATTCCATAAAACAACTAACATAATATGATTTTGTTTTTAGTGTTCTATCATAATAAAGTCACTTAACATGATCTTCGACTGACTTTATCACCATCTATTCAAAAAGGTTCCGAAGGCCCTAGAGCTCCTCCACCTTACCAATAGAGGACTTATCGTATTGTGTACATGCAATAAGACCAAAAGAAAGCATATTGCCTTGAAAAGCATTTAAATGTATCCGTACAGAGAGGAAGATAAACCAGATGTTACTTTGCGTGATCTCTCTCCGGTCGTGTCAGTCCCAACGGATTACCAGGCAAGTAGTGCAACTGTCGCAGCTGAATACTTTTCCTCTCAAGATATTTTTAAAAGGTATATTGAGATGTAGCAATGAATAAATAAATAATCTTATTTAGGGTAGGAGTATCTAGCAAGGGTATCTAAGTGGCTATTTAAGCAAAATATAGTGAGAGATGACTGTATCAATAATCAAATTACTTCATCATATTACCTGTATCGTTGGTTAAGTGACTGCAAGAGTGAGTGTTAAGCAAGAGGTTTGATACCCGGATCCCACAAAAAGCTGCATCGGTGGCCGAGTGGTCGCAAGTGGGATTCCCGAGCAAGGGGTCTTGGGTTCGATTCCCGGGTTGGGCTAAGTATAACTGTTTTTTATAGGCTCACCCCCTATTACATGGGACTCGTAACATAAATAGTTAAAAATGGGCGTTGTGTTGTACAGTGGCTTTAAATGGAGTAATGTGCACCTCTGCCCACCCCATCGGGAATAAAAGGCGTGATGTTATGTATGTCCTACAAGAAGCGTGCAAATAATACGAATAACCCATCTATTCGGATTAGATATCCCAAATAATAATCGATCACTTAGTCATGAGACTCATGACACCTGCATTAACGCATCACCTAACCATATATCACCCTTGCACAACACTTCATAGAATGATCATCAGATCAGATCAGATCCAAAAAACCGAAAAAATCAGAACCTACCAACGCGACGATCAGTAAAAAAATATTTGCAACAAACAAAATCCAATCATAATTTCCAACAAATTACATTTTTGCTGGGTAGGTTGGGGCAGAACAAACAGCCCACTTCAAACGCAACGACACGGCTTCGGAGCGGACATGGACTTAGAGGCATGAATTATTAATTTTCCATTTAAACCAGCACTGGCAATGTTTGCTTTCCTCCGATGTCCCCTATTGACTTTATCGCTACCCGATGGAGGGGGAATTAATTGCGTAAGGTTCGCGATTCGAAAATATTCGAGACTGATCAATTTCGAATGTGGCTTTTAGGCTTTTGAGTACTACACAGAGGATTTTCTTTTAAAAGTAAAATAATGGTTGTTTTTCAAGAATGAGGTTTTAGATCAACGTATTGGTTGCGACTTTGGGTTTAGCTTTGTGATGACTGCAAGGTCAGCAAATTTTCCTATTACGTAATCCTGCTGTTATGGGGATTAAATCATCGATTCTCCCGTCTGGATGAGGTAGGAGGGAGTGTCAGACTCTTACTGACTAAAAACCACCCCGTCCCTACTCCTACACTTCGAGCCGGAGCCCCGGTAACCTTTTAAGTTCTCCGCGGCTCCGTATCAGCGTCAGCTAGAATACGTAATCCCGGTATTAAGCTGTGATAATCCACAATACAGGTAACATTTTCAAGTTTTAGTATTTGCATTTCTGAAAGGATTGCACTGCATTTCGTCCAACGACTATCTACTTACTACTTCATCACATTATTCGCCTTTAAGCATAATACATATTCCCCTCGATATAATAAAATATAAACAACCAATCCCACTATGCAAAATGCAGCAAAATGTTTCACGCTATACCACTAAAATCTAAGACAATCCGAAACAAAAGGAACACTGCAAAATATATCTTCAAGCCATATATCACACGGTCCATTCTCCCCTATAACTGGCACAATGAAGAAATAAGAATTTCTTAAAGCAATTTCCAGTTCTAAAATTCGAAATTAAAGCTCAAGAAATAACAAGAAAACTCGACTTCTCTATTCCGTTTTAGCCCAGTTTTCTCCATTTAAATTCTGAGAAAATTTGGGTCGAAACTATTAAGAAAACATGTGTTGCTTGAGTTACATGGAACGTTAAGACGTTTTATTTAACATTTAATTTTATTTTAAATGCACCACGTGTAGGATTTGGGTGCATAACTAAGGTTCACTTAAAATCTAGCTTCACTTGTTTCAAAATGGGTACCTACTAAGGATTCTTTAGTTGTCTAGATTTGGGAAACGACCTCTGGATTTCAAGTTTCTTTTCAGAGTAGATACTCAGTGACAAATTGTCAATTTTCTATATTTACTAAATAAGTATAGTATATATCAAATGCGCTTAAAAACCCCAACAAAACTCAACTTCGCCAATAGATGGCGTTATACTACAGTTATGTCCGTTGAATGTAAACGTTGGTGCAACGATCTCAATCGAAAGGTTTATTAATAATTCATGTGTGTCGTAGCGTGGTCGTGTCGTGAGGAGAAAACAAACCTCTTAGAGATGGGAATTTGTTCACTCAAGTGGAACTATTGTCTTTGAATGTGATCGGGCTGACGTGTCATTAGAAGCCAACGAGTAAACAGCCTGGATCATGGAGTCACTGCGGCGATGGTAAAGAGTTCTATTACTCATGCATAGTTCGGAACCTGGGAAGTACTAAGGTGACTTTGACCCCAAAGTTTGAGATCACTGACGTATGGTAAAAGAAAACATGGTAAGGAAATCTGAACTTTATTAATGTGTGTATGTTTTCTGTGATCTCTGAGTCACATAATGCATACTTAATTATCTTAATTTGGAATTTCATTGGAAGATATTTGTCGAGGTTTTTAACAAGAGTGAATTTTATAGATGAATAAGGATTATGCTTATAATGTAAGCTGAAAATAACTGGTATTCTTTGCCTTATAAGCGAAACTATTAAGAAATAACAGTTTGCAGTATCAACGCTTTAACTAAAGATATTAAAAGAATAAAAGTCGTTTATTGACAACACTAATCATTATTAAAGCATTCAATATGTCTCGTGGTTCTAACACGAAGATTAATATTTCAAATATTAAAATCCTCAGTGTTCGTAGCAAAGATTTTAAATCACATAACGTAACATACCATCACGCCTTTTATCCCCGAAGGGATAGGCAGAGGTGCACATTAAGGCACTTAACGCCACTGTACAATGTAACATCCACTTTACACTAATAAAATTATGAGTCTATATATAGGTACTGTAATAGAGAGCGAGCCTGTTGCCATGGGCACAGTTCAAGACTCTGCGCTACTACTGAGAGTTTTTTAAAAACCTAGTAATACTTTGCCCAACCAACGGGAATCGAACCCGAGACCCCTTGCGCGGCAGCTGCACCTGCGACCGTTCGGCCAATGAGGTAGTCTCTAAATCACATTCTACATAATTTTCAATATAAACATCAAAACTGATCTATCCATCCACCTTCACCCGTCCCAACCGTGATTATATTCCTATATATTTCTGAATCACAGTAGGAGACCATCGTCCCAATTTGTGTTCAATTGTAACAGAAATATCATCGACGCGGGAGATTGTAATAACTATTATTATATTATTATATATTATCTTGTTTGTAATGTAATATTGTAACAAAATTGCTTACTTATATGAAACAAATTCGACGAACGAATGTAGGTTGGTAGGTTATCAAATTAATCCCTTAGTTTGGGGATAAATAGGGAAATTGACAAATAAATATGTTTTCTTTTTTAATACTGTGTAAGTTGGGATCGGCATGACATTTTTGTACAGCTTTCGTTGATTATGTTATCTATATAATTATGTATTCACTTTTCATTAGTTTTTTTTTAATCAAGGTACACTATTCGCTATTCTGAGAATATTATTGAAACTTTTTTTATGTCATAAGCCGGTAAACGAGCAGACGGATCACCTGATGGTACGCAATCGGCGTCACTCATGGACACCTCGAACACCAGAGACGTTACAAGTGCGTTAACGGCGTTAACGTTAATTAGGAGTTTGAGGATCGTTGGGGATTCAGGAATTGGGGAGATTGGGGAAGGGAGGGTAATCAGGCCTCCGGTAACCTCACTCTCACGACGAAACACAAAGCAAGCGTTGCTTCACGTCGGTTTTCTGTGAAGCCGTGGTATCACTCCGGTCGAGCCATTCGTGCCGAAGCATGGCTCTCCCACACTATTATTGAAACTGCTACATATGGAATTTAATTCCAGATTTTAGAAAAAAAATTGTTTGCCTAAGAAATCGTCCTCAACATCTCATATCAGAAATCAAGATTAAAAACATAATTAAATAACAGAAGACTGCACGGTTGGTGCGGTGGCTGGGCAACCGGCTGCCGTGCAACGTGTCGCGGGTTCGATTCCCGCACGGAACAACACTTTGTGTGATCCATAAATTGTTGTTTCGGGTCTGGGTGTCATGTGTATGTGAACTTGTATGTTTGTAAACGCACCCACGACACAGGAGAAAATCCTAATGTGGGACAACGTTTTATTTTAAAAACAAAAAAAAAGAAGACAAGTTACCAGACACATTTTCTTCTAGAACAGACCATACTTCCAGCCCTCCATAATCACTATTGTGGCTTAATCCCCAACATCCCGCAAATCCCCATTATGCTCCAGCTACTTACATAACACGCTGAGCTGCACAGTGCTTCGCATAGGGCTGTCTCTCTGCAACGCCTCATGCCGTGCTTCGCAAGTAAAGTCCGCGTAGTCATCATCCGCTGCCGCTTTGAAGTGTACTCTGTAGACAAGGAAATAGAGTTTAACATTGATTGACAGCAAATATCGGTAGACTAATGTGTAGGTACTCTGTGGTAAGGGGAGTTAAGTTTTAAATCAATTGACAGAAAATATGTATAAAGGGTTAATGCTGGGAAGTTTTCGATTGTATCTTTATATTATTTTGTATGACAATCTTTAAAGTGGTAAGCAAAAGTGAGTTTGTTTTATTTTCTGTCCCCGTAACAGTATTTGATAATCCGAATTTGAAACCGGTGCCAAGATTTCTAGAAGTAACAATTATAAAAAGTACTATAAAGAACCTAAATTTGCTGGCTCTGCTCAAGAAAATGACATAATAATTTCGAAATTTGAATGTAAGTTACAATCCAATAATATAAGTTAAACAATACACTGTAACCAATTTAAACCATAACCTACATCAACACCTCTGCCACACCCTACAGGGAATAAGAGCCGAGATGTTTCACTACCAATTACACAACAATCATAGAAAATTAGTTTAATTACCCACAAACAAACAAAGATCAATTCAATAAATGTTCTCACCGGGGCATTGAATCTTGGTCCGCATAGTTCCCATCTTGTAATTAAGGAAACAGTCCCATAGAGAATTTAGAATTCAAAGAGAATTGAATTTAGCATAAACTTCGGTCACTTTATAACTTGGGATCCTTGCTTTGGAACTACGATTATCTGTTTAGTTAGCATCATGGTTTTTAAAAGAGTAACGAATGGAGTTTCTTGCTCGTTCTTCTCCACTCGAATCGACATTTTGGAACGAGCGCCTAGCTTCACTGCCGGACAGACTGACAGACTATTATTTATTTCATATTTGTTGACGTTACAAAAGTACCAAATTATGGTTTAATTGAAATAAATGCTTTTGAGTTTGAGTTTTAATTTGACTGCATTGTTGGCGCTGTGGCTGGGGATCCGATTGCCACGCAACGTGTCTCAGGATCGATTCCCGCACGAAACAACTCTTTGTGTGATCCACAGATTGTTGTTCCGGGTTTAGCTGTCATGTGTATGTGAACTTGTATGTTTGTAAATGTTCTCATGACACAGGAGAAACTCCTAATGTGGGGCAATGATTTGAGAACCTAACGGGTTACCGGGGTTCGACGTGCAGGAGAAGGAATGAGGTGGTTTTTAGTCAGTAAGAGTCTGACACTCCCTCCCGCCTCACTCAGGCGGGAGCAGTCAAACGATGATTTTCCCTCCTTAAAAAAATCCAGGACCAAAGCTCTTTTCTAAGACTTAATAAAACAGAACCAAGCTCGTGTCGTGGATTCTAGCTATAAATATATGTAGACATACACACATACACATTATATATAATAATAGTAAGTAAACGACATTGTGGCAGATGTTCGCAATAGCTCCATAGCGGCGACGTAATAATATGCCCTGATTTGTCCCCTGATCCCGTCTGCAACGACATAGGGTTTGTGCACTACATTGTTTTAAAATTGCAATAAAAATAAAAAGATGGGGATCCTATTTTAATTTTGATTATTTTTTGTGTACGAAGAGCTGCAGATTGAGGTCAATGACGTGCTATTGAAGAGGTCTATTTTTGTGTACAAACGGGTATACTGATTGCCTAATGGTAAGCTATTAACTCAACCCTACATCCACAACACCAAAAGAGATGCAAATGCGTTGAAAGTTTTATAATAGAATGTGTATGATCTCTCATAGAAGTCAGAAATTATATTTCTGGCAGTGGATGAAAGATAACAAATATCTATTCTTTTCCTAGTTAACCTTTAAAGGATAAATAGACAATGCCATACAAATATCCTCTGTAGGTTTTACTTTATTCTTAGGATCTGGAAGCCATTACCAAACTTCAACCTGATTGCCATTTCCAAGTCGAGCTAAGTATTATTGCGTTCCTCTAATTCGAAGTTCTCAATAAGTTCTCAACATAAAGCTTGAAACTAGTTCGTTTCGTAGAATGATAGATGAGCTGAATGCAAATGGGCTGGAAGCCACAATACTAAATGAAGCACTTTGGAAGTTCATTTTTTTATCTAGAATACAGGAGCAAGTGCTAAACTTAACATAATGTTTATTAATCCAGAGGGGTGCACATAATTATGCGGTCTAACAACCAATTATCCCCAGCTACATTAAAAACATCCTAGGCGGCGGTGATCCTTAACGCCATACACTGAATATAACATAGATTTTATAACTTCGAATATATGGATATAAAATATATTGTGAACCTGATTGAAAAAGACTAACCTATGGAGATTCTTGCTCGTTCTTCTCCATAGGAATCTACACTTTAGAACGAATAAATAACTTCACTAGAGGACTGATCGACGTAAAGAAACGCTTGTGTTGTGTTTCGTCATGTGAGTGAGGTAACCAGAGGCCCAATTACCCCCCCTTCCTCAATCTCCCCAATCCCTGAATCCCCAACGATCCTCAAACTCCTAATCCCCAAAATGCGGGTAACGTACTTGTAACGCCTCTGGTGTTCCAGGTGTCCATGGGCGACGCCGATTGCTTATCATCAGGTGATCCGTCTGCTCGTTCACAGGCTTATGCCACAAAAAAAAGTTTGTGACTTTCAAGAGTGCCTTCCTGGTCTAATTGAAATAAATAACTTCGACTATGACTTTGAAACTTGCCTTGTTTTAATTTAGAACGGACCAAATCCTATTTGTTTTCATTGCTATCCCAATACAAAACTTCTAAGACACTCTAATGTTTGCCCAAGAAAATATAGTTTTCTTCAACAAAAAATTTGTATTGCAAGTGTATGAGCATATCTTTTGAGAGACGAGTTATTACTGCACGTGATCACACTGCAACACATACTGCAGCTTATGTGCTGTGCATACCTTATCTTGTTTCAGTAAAAGCAGAGTAAAGATGAGGTCAGAAGTTACAGTACCTATGTGGATTGAATCTGGCGGTATTTTGGTTGTTGTGGAAATTTAGACTGTATGTTTTGTCTCTTAAAGTGTGTATTGCGGTGAATAGATGTATGTGTTAAGTAGAATTTTATCTGTCAAGCGGTTTAGATTATAATCTTAAGTTTCATTTTATTTCTCAGGTTTTCAAAAGTTTTTGTATTGTTTTCAGTATGGTTTTAAGTGCTTACCATCGCAGAAGTCGCAGAAATCTGGGGTAATATTCCATGCAAAAAGTTTTATAGAGTTATTGAATCGTTACTATAATATTATAAATCCGAAAGTGAGTTAATTTGTTTGTTTGTTTGTTCCGCTTTCACGCCGTAACTACTAAACCGATTGCTTTGAAATTTTGCAGAAGTAAAGCTAAAAGTCCGGATTAAATAATAGGGTACCTACTTTTTATCCCGGAAAAATATTCCCGAGGGAAAACAAAAGTATTGGTATAGATGGCGCTGTGTGTATTAGTATATGTCACATAGGCTACTTTTTATCCTTTTGTGACGCGAGCAAAGCCGCGGGTAAGTTTGTGAATAACAGGAAGTCAACATCAATTGAAGTCCCTTATTCAATGGTATAAAACTAACGAAATGGAAAATAAGCAAAACTTCTCAGTCCTAATCTAGAAGTGCATTATAGTCACTACATTAACAGAAATATTTCGTAAAACATCAAGCTATTGTGGCAACGCGTTTAATTTCAGACGGGACATGTCCCGTAATTCCCTCGCTGTCACTTGCGCGACGTCCCGGATCCGGTTTAATCCGGTTATATCGGGTTAAATCTGCAATAATGCGGAATTTATTTCATTGCAGACTTTGTGACTTGCTTTTAATGGTAGTACACATGTTTAAAGTGAATAGGATTAGATTTTGACTTTTTTTTTGGTATTGTTCCTTTTGTTTCAAGTTTTTGGGTTAGTCCTTGGTTTTTGGGACAGTGATGTCACACGAGTTCGACTTTTCTAATGGTATTATAACTTCGAATCATTTATTTTGTAAATAAACTACCCTTACTTTTGTCACAAGACGAGAAAGTGTATCCAGCAGGGTTATAATGGCGTCCTAAATTCAGAATAGTTCCATAGAGGGAAAGAAACAGAGCTATACAAATCGTCTTTTTTATGGGTCAAGCCGGTAAACGAGCAGACAGATCACGTGATGGTAGTCAATTGGCGTCGCCCATGGACACCTGGAACACCACAGGCGTTACAAGTGCGTTACCTGGATTAGGCATTTGAGGATTTTTGAGGATTCAGGGATTGAGGAAAGGGAGCGGGGGGTAATTGGGTCTCCTAGCGAGATCTCGTTTCCTCAACGGAACCACTCTAACTTTAAGACGTCATAATATGCCACTAGGTTTTGTAAATTCAATAGTTCACTAGACGTCCATCAAGTAATCGTGTGCAGCGCCGTTAGCTGCTTGTCCCAAAACTACATATGACAAGAACCAGCAAGAATCTTTACAAAATACGACACATTCTATTTCAGAATTTGCACATAAAATAATCTAGATTACTAAGACATCGAATACATATAAATACGTATCTTGTCACCTTAGCAAAGTTTATACAGCCTAATATTAGCTCCAAGATATCAGACGCCTAGATTACCATAACCAATAACTAAACAGCCTGTATAATGTCAATTTCGAGACGTAAACCTCTTTATACGATTTAATCAACGATCTTGGCAAGGTGAAGCCTGTGATTAGCCAAGCTTGGCAAACTGACTGGTGATTAAGGTGGTGTCGTTAATGAATATTAAATTGTAATACAGCATCATGCCTCTTAATCCTCGATGAGGCAGACAGAAGCGCACAATACAACGTAACACTCATTTTTTTTTATTATAGGCTTTGTTGGTTATAATATTATAGGTCTTGTCTAATGGGGTATATATACCAGGCATATGTTGCAATATACCAGGTGGAATATAGCACACTGTGCGAAACCTTGTCAATAAATGTAACGATGGCATGATGTCATATGCGAAAAAGAAAAATAGGAATGGAAAATGAAAATAGAAAATAGGTCATGATGAAAAATTAATTTTAATTTTTCAAA